ACTGGGGATGTGCCAGCAACCCAGGTACATGCCCTTGACCGGAATCGAACCCGGGACCCTTCAGTCTGCAGGCCGATGCTCTATCCACTGAGCCAAACCGGTTTCGGCGACCCTATCTTTATTAAGACTCAAACAGGGAGGAATTCCCCAAAGATAGGAAGATAGATCAAGGGTGAGCAGCCAAAAAAGTTACAGATGTCGTCACAGGTAGAAAGCATCTGGTGCTCTGAGTCACAGCCTCAGAGCTGACTTACATTAAGGAAAAATATACATATATCTCTTCACTAATGATCTTACCTTCCACTATGTCTTTTATGAACAGTACATAGCTTTCAAGAAAAACTATACTCCGTTCCCAACGTAGTATTTATCCAACTTAGAAAAATACTCTAACTGGTTTGTTGGCCTTCCTTTCTTTCTGTTACTAAAACAAAAAGATACACTTGGACAGCTTCTTTTAGCAAGTTCTTTTAGTGAGGTAAAAATTCTGATATAAAATCCCGACAGTATTTTTTTTGTCTTTTTCAAGTTTGTATTGTTGTATTTGAAATATAATTATGGAGCAAAGCTTTTCATAATAAGCTTAACCACAGCTTATCTCCAAGATTCTAATCAGATTCTTTTTCTGAGCCAATTTACAGTTTTGTAATTAGCAAAGTTTTTTTCTATTGCCTTTCTTCCTTTAAACTGGTACTGCCACATTTTCTTTTAAAAAGTATGTAGCTTGTGCACTAGCCAGTTTGGCTCAGTGGATAGAGTGTTGGCCTGCAGACCGAAGGGTCCTGGGTTCAATTCTGAACAAGGACACATACCTTGGTTGCAGGCTCCTCCCCAGCTTGGGCCCTGGTCAGGGCTCATGCAGGAGACAACCAATCGATGTGTTTCTCTCACAAAGATATTTCTCTCTGTGTTTCCCTCTTTCTTCCACTCTCTCTCTAAAAATCAATGAACAAATATCCTCGGGTGAGGATTAAAAATAAAACAAAAAACACAAGTATGTAGCCTGTATTACTGCAAGGTAGAATAAGAGAAAAAATAAGGCAGAACAATATTGGAATACAGGGGGAAAATACTTATTTTTGTAACCAAATCCAAGGTTAACAATGAGTTTTGCTAGTGAAATGACAGTTTATTCAGATTGTATTATTTCTCAGGTAAATAGGAGAATCATATTTTTTATGTGTTAACAGCTTGTTTGTATTTGTTTAATAGTTAGAAGGTTTACTCTGTTTATTCTGTGAAGTCTCAAAATCTTAGTCTGCCTCATTGATGTCCTATTTATCTGACACCTTTTTAATGAGTAATGGCATTTGAGCTGTCTGCTGTTTCACATTAAATGCACCCTCTCACCATTTCCTGTGGCTTTATGGTGAAATATATCAGATTTACTTAATGATTTTATATCCCATTTCTGTCCCTCCCAACCCCTAATAAAATAGATGAGAGAGACTCAGTGTAGGAATTAGGTACTTGCCAATCATTAGATAACTGTCAATTACAAAACAGATTGACTGAAGGGTCCTGGGTTCAATTCTGAACAAGGACACATACCTTGGTTTCAGGCTCCTCACCGTCCTGGGCCCTGGTCAGGGCTCATGCAGGAGACAATCAATCGATGTGTTTCTCTCATAAAAATATTTCTCTCTGTGTTTCCCTCTTCCACTCTCTCTCTAAAAATCAATGAACAAATATCCTCGGGTGAGGATTAAAAATAAAACAAAAAACACAAGTATGTAGCCTGTATTACTGCAAGGTAGAATAAGAGAAAAAATAAGGCAGAACAATATTGGAATACAGGGGGAAAATACTTATTTTTGTAACCAAATCCAAGGTTAACAATGAGTTTTGCTAGTGAAATGACAGTTTATTCAGATTGTATTATTTCTCAGGTAAATAGGAGAATCATATTTTTTATGTGTTAATAGCTTGTTTGTATTTTTTTTTAAATATATTTTATTGATTTTTTATAGAGAGGAAGGGAGAGAGATAGAGAGTTAGAAACATCGATGCGAGAGAAACATCGATCAGCTGCCTCCTGCACATCTCCCACTGGGGATGTGCCCGCAACCCAGGAACATGCCCTTGACCGGAATCGAACCCGGGACCCTTGAGTCCGCAGGCCAACGCTCTATCCACTGAGCCAAACCGGTTTCGGCAGCTTGTTTGTATTTGTTTAATAGTTATAAGGTTTACTCTGTTTATTCTGTGAAGTCTCAAAATCTTAGTCTGCCTCATTGATGTCCTATTTATCTGACACCTTTCTAATGAGTAATGGCATTTGAGCTGTCACTGCTGTTTCACATTAAATGTACCCTCTCACCATTTCCTGTGGCTTTATGCTGAAATATATCAGATTTACTTAATGATTTTGTATCCCATTTCTGTCCCTCCCAACCCCTAATAAAATAGATGAGAGAGACTCAGTGTAGGAATTAGGTACTTGCCAATCATTAGATAACTGTCAATTACAAAACAGATTGGATTCCAGACTGACCAATTTTCCTGGACAGAGAAGAAAAGATATTTTAAGTAAGATAACAGGCATGAGTGAAACAGAACACTGGTGATGGGAGGGGGATGTAATTTATGTAATTTCCTTTCAAATTTTAGAAATTTATGGCCCAGGGTGCTGCTGAAGCCTGTTCTGTCTCTTCCTAGGATAGGCAAACATCTCTGACCTCCCCAAGCTAGAGGATGCTGAAAGAAGCTGGTGTGGGAGAAGGGGAGGCCCGCCAGATGGTGGAGGCACAGTGAGGAGGCGGAGGTAAGGGGGGCTGGTGGGGGTGCTAATTAGCTTTTCTTGCTCCACCAAGAACCTATGGCAAGCAGATGGCTGCCCCCTTAATAGCACCCTTTTTCTGTCCAGCAGGCAGTAGTGGTTGATCTTGTGGTCATGCAGAAAGCATGCACTTTTTTTTTCTCTTCAAAATGTGGAAGTGGTGAAAGACATACAAAGGGAAAAGCTAGGTTTAAATATTATATGTGTCTAAAAAAATAGATCTTATCTCTCTTAAAACAATTTTTTTAGAGACAGAGGAAGGGAGAGGAAGAGAGAAATGTCAACGTGAGAAACTTCAATCGGCTGCCTCCCGTACACCCCAACAAGGAATCAAACCCTCGACCTATGTGCCCTGGCCGACAATCGAACCCGGGAACCTTTGATGCATGGAACAACAATCCAACCAACTGAGCCACACTGGCCAGGACTCCTATTTGCAAAAACTAGGCGCCCATTCATATTTTGACAATGCTAGCTGAAAGTGATTTGTTCTTTCTATTACAAAATCAATCCAAATTAATCAAATTGTGTCTGAATATCTAAAAATAATTGATAAAATGATAAAACTGGCTATGAAGTCTAAACCCAACAGCTATAGCATCTTGTGCTTGGTGAGAGGTTGGCTTATGGATAATTATAAAAAGATTCAGCTACTCACATGGCCTTTCCTTGCACAGTCTCAGTTTCTGTGGGGCGGGGACTGTGTCTTAATCATTTCGTAACTTCTTTTGAGCTGGCCATGATGGTATTCACTGAAAGTCTGTCAAATGGAATCAAGGTAGAGTGAGTCAATCACTACATGTACTACTCAACATTTGTATACTTATTATTAATTTTATGCCAACATAAATATTAGTGAGCAGGACAAAGTAAAACAGTTAACATTTTGAAAATGCAGTATTGTAATTGGCCCTGGTTTTACTGCTATAATGCTTTATATACTAACTAGAGGCCTGGTGCACGGATTTGTGCACTGATGGGGTCCCTCGGGTTGGCCTGAGCCCTCTTGTAATCCGGGACCCCTCGGGGGATGTCAGACTGCCAGTTTTGGCCCGATCTCCCGAATCCATGCACTGGGCCAGTTCCTGCCCGATCCCCACAGGCCAGGCCAAGGGACCCCAAAGATTAATCTTTGGTTAATCTTTTCCTGCCCTCCCCTCTCCCTCTGAGATTCATCAGTCTGTTCCATGTTTCCAGGCCTGTGCATTGAGTGTCTGCCCCCTGGTGGTCAGTGCATGTTATAGCTACCGGTTGAATGGTCAAATGGTCGCTTAGGCTTTTATAAAGAGAGATTTAAATAGTAGCTTTCAAAATTGGGAAGCCAAGATTCTAATATATATCTTTGTACAAGAAGAGAAAGTAATAAATATTTACTGAGCACGATGTACCACATACACTTTACATATGTTAATGTATTCAATCCTTTCAACATCCCTATAAGGTAGTTCTCTGCTTTTTAGAGATGAGGAAATGAAGTACATAGTGAGTGGGCAGGATTCACACTTAGGCATGTCTATACAGTCTTTATTCTACCTGAACCCTAATATCTCCATTGGTCCCCAAAATATTGTTTTACTTGTCCAGTAATGGTCAAATCAACCCACTCTATCTCTACAGCATTCTCCATGTCCTTTCTTGCCCCAGCCCCAATGGCAAGTCTTCAGCTGCTTCACTCTCCTACATTCAAATCCTTTTTGGAGCTTTCAAAGACAAATGGGAAGTGAAATAGCATCTCGCTGGAGATCTAGAACAGAGTGTTAATTCTGATCCTGAAGTGCAATTCTGTAATTCTCTCCTACCGAATTAACAACTTTCACATTCACCTTGTGCTTGTTAATATGTACTACATTATCTTATTCTTGTAGTTGATATTTATTGTATTGTCTGAACATCTTTTAAATCTAACATGCCCGATGTTAACTAGATCCCATTTGGGGCAGGTACAACATTATTGCTTAGTGTGCTGCATTCAATTCTTTAAATATGAATTTTTCAAGTGATTTTCTCCAATCTCTTCTTCAACAATCATGACCAAGTTTCTTGGAAGCATCTGAGATGACATAGTAAACCCAAAGTTGAGGTAGGCTGTTGGTATTTAAGGAGAATAAGTCTTACATTATATGTTGCTATTTACTATATCTGGTACTATTTTATCAGTAGTAGGTAGTCACTAAAATAAACAGTAGAGATCAGACTCTTATTTTCAGACAAGAGTAATAGAAAATAAATTTTCCAAATGGAATTCTTACAAAATTTTTAAATAATTGTCTTGAGAAGTTTTAAGAGTATCTTTTGACTCATGCCTACTAGAGTTCTTTACTCAAAGGAACTATACAGAAGTATCTAACTTGATAAGGCAGACTGAATAAGAGAATTGAGAGACTGGTGAAAGGCCAGGGTACTTAGACCACCCATTGTTATATGGTGCAAAATAATTGTCTTGAGAAGTTTTAAGAGTATCTTTTGATTCATGCCTACTAGAGTTCTTTGCTCAAAGGAACTATACAGAAGTATCTACTTGATAAGGCAGACTGAGTAAGAGAATTGAGAGACTGGTGAAAGACCAGGGTACTTAGACCACCCATTGTTATACAGTGCTGTACTCCCATATCAGTGACATGAATAGAAAAGTGACAGGATTTCATGATCTGCAGTGTCCCTAGGGAGATTCTGCTGTCTTCAAGAGTCTTAGGATTTGGTTGAAATGCTAGACCAAAGCAATATGCTTTCAAGTGATGCTATAGATGATAATGCTATAGGGGTTCATAGGAGGAATGACACCTTAATTATTTTGGGGTGAAGCAGACATTTTAGGATTCACTTTACTTTTAAAAATAAAAATTCTGGACTCACCACTGTGACTTCCCTTTCCCCTATAACAATTGAGAGCTCTCTTCTCCACCCCTCACTTTGAGATCAACTCAACTTAAATCCCTTAAAGGAAGTATATAGTAAATGAAAAAAACTGAGAAGTTAAAATTAGAGAAATGAAACCAATTTCTTTTAAACGACAACAGGTTTCTGAAACCCTTCTGCAGAAGTTGATTCAAGTTACCACAGGGTGATTTTTCCAAGTGAATGTCACAGTGAGTGACAGAATATTTCTGCAGTCATGGCTGTCATGGCGGACTGGCTGACCTAGTCACTTCTGATATGTAATAAAATACAGACTTATATGGTTCTGGATGTAACTCAAGAGCCCAGGTCAGATTAAGGACAGGAGCTCTGTGCTTTATGTTCTCTAAGTTCTCCACAGCAGTGCCTCATAATTTTATCATCCTCTGATCTCTTTTGATAAACATAAAAATCTCATCTGCCCCCCAAATATGAGAGCCCCTTAGAAATAGGGAACCTTCTGTCTCCCCCTCCCCCTCCCACCCAGTTGAGAATCACAGATTTTATAAAGCCTGTCTGATCAAGAAAATTTAGTCAAACTTTTTGCTACCTCAGATTCTGTAACTCCCTTTTTCTTCCCTTCTTCCTCATCCCCATCCCCGTTGAAAATTACTTCTGTATTTTTATTGAATTAAATCAATGTTGTTCTTCAATTGCTTAGAAAGTTATATCATCAAAAGAATTCAGGTCCCTGGATTATTAGGGTTCAGTATTGAATCTGATCAATGGGTCTGTGCCCAAATATGTATTCATATAAAATGTACTCTATTGTTCAAAATAATATTTGTGAGATTCGTTCATGTTGTTGCATGTATCTGTGGCTCACTCTTTTTAATTAAAAAATAGTACTTATGGCTGATGCCATTTTGGGGCTCAGCCCATCTAGTTTCCAGATGACCTAATAAATTTATAATTCTTTACCACTAAAAAATATATAAAAATAGTACTTATACCATGATTAATTTGTCTCTTCTCTTTTAAAAAATATTTGTATTGATTTCAGAGAGGAAGGAAGAGGGAGAGAGAGAGAGAAACATCAATGATAAGAGAGAATCATCGATTGGCTGCTTCCTGCACGCCCCCTACTGGGGGTTGAGCCCGCAACCCAGGCACGTGCCCTTGACCAGAATCAAAACCAGGACCCTTCAGTCCACAGACCAACCAGCTAGGGCTGCTTCTTTTCCTCTTCATGCACATTCGGTTTCATTCCAATTTGGGCAAATATGAATAAAGCCACTATAAACTTCTTGTACAAGTGTTTTAGTGGACATGAGCTTTCATTTATCTTGGGGGTAGAATTGCCCAACTACAGGGTAGGTATATTTTTAACTTTATAAAGAACTGTCAAACAATTTTCTGAAGTGGTTATTTTATACTCCTATCAGCAATTTATGAAAGTTTCAGTTGCTCTTTTACTCAATATATATTCAAATAAGTCTCTAATTATTCTTCAATGTCATCTCTTTTCAGAGACTTTAACAGAATATTTTTGGTAGCATTAAATCCCAGAAATGTCGGTGTCCAAAATTCTTGCCCAGTTTCTAATATTCATAATCAACATACACAAATACAAATATTTCACCCAAAATATAGTCATATAGTTTAATGGAAGTGTTCTATTCCTGAAAATCTTGTGTGTAAAGCTAATTTTTCATAATCCAAATCACGTAAATAAAATTTTGAAATAAAATTTCCCCTACTTTGATGCCCAATCCAACTCTTCTTTTTCCATTGATATCCTCTTATGTTGTCTTGGCCTGAAGAGATTTCTTCTTTCTTTAAATTTTAGCAGCCCCAGTGTTTTGACCCATTTCACCAACGTCAATCCTTTGGGCCTTTGTCATTCATGGCATGGTTGCTTAACCTATTTATTTACATGTCTACATTTCATTTCTACACATACATTTATTGAAGGAACAAATCACATTTCATATTTTAAAAAAATCTATTTCATAGCACATAGTACAGTGACTTGCACACAGCAGTTACTCAATAAAATTTCCTGCTTAGTTGGTTTTCTATTTTTGTTTTGCTTTTGGCAAGGCATAACTGTTATTTAATGCCTCAGCTTAAGTACTTTACTTGTTTCAATTATAATTTCCTCATTTTTCCATTTTTCTTGACTAATGTAAGCCAGGCCTAAAGTTAAGATTGGTTTCCATCTTATCATCTTACTAATATCAGTTTAAAGTACCCCCTATGCAGTGTGGTTTGAAATGAAAAGCACACCACAAGGAGATTAGGGATTCCATCTGGGGTTTCTAATTCTCCCTGGGGGCTCTGGGCTGCCACTTACAGGTCTCCATAAAGTACCAGATCTATTTGCCAGTCCCCGGAGGCTGACATTCTTTGAAGCCCAGCTCAGAGGTCATCTGTCTGCGAGTGGTTTCCTTGCCCCTGATACAGAGGCCTGTCTGGTCCTTGGTGTATGCTACATTGTTCAGGCCTCCTCTTCAGTACCTGGCCCTTTGAGGCAGCATTTATTTAGATGTATATTTGCTTGCCCACAAATGGACAGTTGAGCCCCTCCAAGCAGGGGTCATGTACCTCAGTTATCCTTGTAGTAAGTCGCCCACAAACGTTTGATGAATAAATGCATGGATTAATGAGTGAGCAAACGAGTAAGACTTTTTAGGTATCCTAAACCTTTAAGAGTTTCCATTTTAACATTTAAAAAAATATCTGTATCTCTAGAGAATTTTAGGCCAGAAAAGGGCTATTTAGGTTGATTCTTTTCTTCTACTTCCATGAAGTAGGTACATGTTGTTTTTGTCAAGCATCCCTTCATCACGTTTTGGGACATACTCCTCATTCTTGATGGAATCATATCATGTGGTTTGGTGAGGGCAGCCGTGACTCCTGACT